ATCATGTGAGTCAAGTACGAAAATAAACGACAGAGATTGACGTGTTACGGAACATAACATATATATTGTTTTATTGAAACTTATATTTCGTCCTGTCCTCAGGACTTCTTCAGCTAATGAAGTATACAAAAATATATCGGCATAATAAAAACATAGTCAGCATGAAGGTGACTAGTTAGAGGCGGAGCATAAACATCGCTTAATGCGATTAAAAAGATCCCATACATAGTATATTGCTACAAATATCATTGAGACCATATAAAAGAGCATACTTAACATAAAGCAAATGGAATATCTATTACAATAAGCACACTATGCTTACACTCTGTATTAGATAAGTTATTAAATCCTTACACAAGAAAGTATAATACATACTCCAAGTATTGAAATACACGCCATCGTGTTGGGATTCAATATTTCGACATTACTTATGTCATCATCAGGAATGAAAAAATTATCCATATTTTGCAAGCTTATATGCACTAGTACCAAAAGTGTTTAACCAATCAAAACATTACCTCTAGTAGGTGACATAGCAGTGATTTAAACAAATCCTTACACAGTGCAGTCTTTTTTTGTATTAATAATATAATAATATTTACCAGACATGGAGTTAGCATGATAAATAAGCCTACGCGTATACTAACTACATACAGTACTTACTATGTAATGAACATGTTCTACATCGTAAAGCTAATGCCGAAAACCTGTTAATCACTAAAACAACATACATTTGTGTTGGTTGACTTTTTCTTTCGATTGTGTAAGGGCTTAGTCAATTTAAGTAAATTTACGGATAAAACTTTAAAATGTTAAGAATTGAATAAACGATGAAAATGACATTCATGAAACTCAAATGAGCTTATCAAAAGAAAACATGGATGTACCGTAGTAAAAACAACCAAATTCTGTGGTCAGTGAAGCATCAATTAAATCGGGTGGCAACTGGCCGGGTGGCAACTGGCCGGGTGGCAACAGGCCAGGTGGCAACGGGCCTAGACCCCAGATGATCTTGTCTTATTCTCAAAATCTCAGCAAATCCTGACCATCACATTATTTGATACCTTCAAAAAAAAAAAGGGGGGGGGGCTAAATGTATTCCTAAATAAAACAAAGATTCAAGTGTTCAGGTGAAAACAAGACTGCAGAGAGAAGTTCCTTAACAAGTGAGAATAGCTGGGGCAATAATCCAGATGATCTTGTCTTATTCTCAAAATCTCAGCAAATCCTGACCATCACATTTTTGATACCTGCAAAAAAAAAGAAAAGGGCTAAATTTATTCCTAAATAAAACAGAGATTCAAGTGTTTAGGTGAAAACAAGATTGCAGAGAGAAGTTCCTTAACTAGTGAGAATAGCTGGGGCAATAATCACGGGTATAGGCCCGTTGCCACCTTACCTATTGCCACCCGGTTTAATTGACTTGCATTTGAGTGTGGAAATAATAATGAACATTAATATAGTGACAATGAGGAAAATAGCGATGATAAGCTATTATTATTATTATTATTATTAACATGTTGACGGGAGTAGCAGGTAGCTTTACCAGGTACCTGAGACACGTAGAGACCCTTAGGAAAGAATCTTGAAACTGTACGAGCTAGGCCAGGCACGAGCACCTTGGTACTTCGGTTTATAGCGCTATATAAATCTAACTACATTACATTACGAGTCTAGCTACTGGGCTGTCCCCCTGACGATGTTAATGAACTTAACAATTTCTCTACTGAAATGTGTGTTTTGAAGGTGCTTGTAAATAAAAATGCTTTTTAGAGAAAAGGAACCGACTCAATGTCGTTGGCAGAGAGAATTTGAAATTTAGCATTTGAAGCCAAGTAAACAGAAAGAGAATTTGCTCTCTTCAAAATTTACAAGGTCCTAAGGAAATCCCATAATATTGAAAATCAAATAAAGAAGATGTTAATTACCAAGTGATAAAGTCTCTATTGTTTAGATGGATAAAAGAACTTTTGTTCTGATAAACTGTCACAGTATATGTACTTCATTATTCCTTCACTCATAGCCTAGCACCTGATGATTGAGGTACCCCTCATGAAACAGCCTGTAGTGCAATAAAATGTTGAGT